GTAAAGCAAACAATTATCTCTTCTAGTTACGACCTTTGTACTCGGTTGCTGCTTGATGTAGGCTGCTGAAGCCTTTACAACTTTTGCACATGGAGGATATGAAACAAAATATTTATTTTAGGTTTTATATATACATGTGAAGTATTGCTGTAGACATGCCACAAACTGAAATATAGTTTCTCTAGTATCAGGTTTGACTTCTCTGAACTTCCAGCAAAGACCTTCCTCAGTATTTGAGTAAGACCACTTTTAACTTTTCATCAACCATAGCATCTTCTTATGTCATGCTAGCAGACACTTGTAGGCCTTTTCCTGTGATAAGGGGGGCTGAGACAGAATGCCCAGTTGCCTTTGTACAGTTCTGACTTTGGGCAAATCTTTCATACTTCTCCAGGAAAGCATCCAAGTCATCTTTCTTTTCATCAAATTTGGGCAGCTTGGATCAGTTGGCCCTGACCCCATTGTTATTCTTGGGTCCTCTGTCATTCTGTTGGGTGCATTTGATGATTCAATTTGTGCTCTTATTCTCTCTATTTACAATCTCTTCTCTCCCCATTCTTTCTTCCTCTCTCCTCTGTTGATGCTCTTTTCTTTCTTGTTATTGTTTAACAAACTTGTAGATTACCATCCTTAAGCCCAAGTTGCTCACCCCTCTCTATCCACTTATGAAAGTCAGTCAACCTGGTTATATAGTGTGGTTGTGACCTTTCTAATATTTTTGCCACCACTACAGCTGTACATATATAGGCCTATTTTCCACTGTTGTTTATGTATACTTGTACTTCTGTTTACCACTGTAGATCCTGGCTGCCTCTCCACTATCAGGTTTTTATGTATGGGCCAGATTCTTTACAGTAGGTGTCTGTGACTTGTTGGTAATGAATTTCAATAATAAACAATCAGCACACATTCAACTTGTTTTAGAATAATATATTAAAAGTCAAACTATATACAAATGTTAGTTACACTGCTGGTTATCACAGTTGCATCCAGAGCTTTAAATTATTCTAATTTTTGTCAAAGCCCACACAGGTTGGTTCAGTTACTTTAGAACACAATTGGCAAGACAAATTATTTCTTCTATACTCTGTTGTTACAATACAAGCTGTGATAATTTCACTTTAGAAATTGCCACTATATGCTCGTTGTGGCTAAACTCACAATCAGGCAGTCTAGATCTATCTTTTGAATTAAATTTCTTATGTGTGTGTGTATAGACAGAGGTCTAGAACATTTCACACACTACTGGATAATTTGATACAATAATACTCAATTAAAATGATAAAACTTGGGATGTTCTAGTAACATGATGGAATAATATAACAATCACCAATTCATAACTACTAAACTACACAACATATGAATTGTAAACAGTTATGTAAACAAATTTGCAATAAAGTAAAAATAACTAAATTAACACTTGTGCTAGATAAAACATATAAATCATAACACTCACATTACACTTAAACTGAAACAGTCATGTATATCAAACAATTGATAGAATGTTTATAGAATAACTATATTTGAAAAGCTTTTTTGTTGTACAAAACTTGAAGATAGCTTTGATAAACGGAAACATCTGTTAGCTGAGTTCTTGCACAGATCTTAAAATATAATGTTGATAAATGGAAACAACGGCACATGTAAATACGTAGATCTTGAAAGTCGAGTTGTTCAAAACTTGAAAATAGTATTGATAACTGGACAAATTGTTGGTAGATCTTGAAAGTCGAGTTGTTCAAAACTTGAAAATAGTATTGATAACTGGACAAATTGTTGGTTGAGAGTTGCAAAAGAGGTATCTGCTGAAGCTTTTCACAAGACACTAATCATAGAAGAACCATCTGGAAAATGATCTATAGGAAATAGTACAGCTTATAAAATGAATCAGATCAAGGCAATCACTGATTGGCATGTCCTTTAGCCAATCAGGAAAGGTTACAGATCTTTTGGTGGCAAAGGATAGGTTTATGTGCTTTAATAAAGGTGGCTTCCAAAATAGAGATGAAAGGTCGACCGACCATTTGAAATAATTTCAAACATGCTATCCGTGTAGTTGTCAGATAACTATATGTATGTTGAAAGCACCTAATTTTACTACATATGTCACCTGTTGTGTAAAATCAGTAACACATTTGTTTGATGTAGTTTAATTAACATTTAAAACTTGGTAGGAATTTCTGTAAATGTGCAGAAAGCTTGTGTAGTTGGTACTTACAACATTCTATCAGTAATCCAGAAACGTTGCCATTTGAGTAAGTACATACCAGCTCATGAGAAAAAACAAAAGAATGAATCCAAATCCTCAAAAATATATAATTTTATTAAATTGTTATGGGACAGATATTAATTTTGTGTGATACATTATTTGGTAACAAAGTTGTTTTTTTCTATGTATCTAGGATATTGACATCACTAACTTCAGCAGCAGCTGGAATGACGGCTTAGCATTTTGTGCACTTCTGAACACCTACCTACCTCACCTCATTCCTTATAATGAGCTTGACAGTAAAAACAAGGTACAGTAAAAACATTGCAGTCAACAAGAAATCTTAAATAAGTTAAGAACTTTAGCACAGCACAACTATCATTTTATGAAAAACTAAATATCTACAGTTATCCTATAACTCAACATTTTGTATTGATTCCCTACTTGATAACCCACAATTTTGTCGTGACTCCTTCTTGATAAACCACAATTCTGTGTTGATCCCTATGTGATAAACCACAATTGCCCTGCTCCCTTTCCTAATAACCCACAACTTTATTTTTACCCCCGATAACCTACAATTCTGACTTGATCCCTATGTAATAACCCAAAGTTTTGACTTAACCCCTTACCAAATAGCTTAAAGTTCTGTTTTTACTCTTGACTGATAACCCACAGTTCTACCTTGACCCTATATGACAACCCAGTATTTTGTTTGGCCACATACCCGATAGCCCACAGTTCTGTTTTGACACCATCTAAGCAGTGCATTTCGTTTGGAGCCACCTCCTTTGATCAATGCAGCTAAAGGATCCTTCTTCTCTGGAGTGTCTCTAGACAAAGATAAGATAAAGTTTGAACCATAGTGTTAATTCACAATGAAACTCACAGTAAAAACACTAAAGATCTTTAAAGTCATGGTAATGTGTTTAGTCTGTTCAACAGTTTTATTAAATTTCCAAGCTTAATTTTCAAGAGAAATGAATAAATCCATCTATTTGGTTGAACAAGTAGTGAACTAACCAGTTTTCTCAGTTTTAGAATAAGACATTCTAGAATCATATAATTACAGTAGTTAGAAAAGTTAGTGTGAAGCATATACCATCATTATTTTGATAATGTTAAATTAGCCAGATGTTTGGTTTATTGTGATTTTAGTAGCACCTTCATCCACTTAATTTACACCAGCATCTGACGATAACTAAAATTAACAAATATTTATAACAATCTGAAAATTTTGTAGGTCTAACAATAGTAATTTCAGTCACACTTGACTATGTATTAAGAGCAGTGTGTTAAAAAACATCAGAAGTCAACCATGACTTTAGATAACTTTTAATCATAAAACCTCACTGCTTTGCTAGCTTAAGCATCTTGCACCACATAAAATGATATTTTTCTCCTACCTACCCATGTACACATTTATTTCTTTGGGCACTGTCCACTTTATTAGTCAGTATCGAGACTGGGTGGGTGGCCAGTGGCTCACTGGGTGTACTGAAGTTTGTCAAAGTCAATCCTTCACTGCTGGTTCCTAATGGTTCACCTGACACTGTAGATTTTTTAGTTCGGGAATCAGTTAGTACTCCTCCACTATCTGGACAAGCATGCTGGAATTAAGAAAACAAAATATTACACTTTGGTACAGCAATTTAATGGAAACTGGATAAATGTCACAAGCACATACTGGATTTTAGATAATGCAACACATTTTTCTCTCTTCTTGCTTCAGCTATCAGTAATTACTGTGATTCTCAGATCTAGTTAAACATATGGGCTTACCTTTGTGATTATATCATTAATTTTTCCATCAATCATATGAGGACTAGGAGATTTAGTATTGGCATGATCACTGCACAGTGAGACAGATGATGATTCTACCCGCGTGGTGGGACCTAATGTAAAAACAAATATACTTACAACGTTGTCAACAAAACATGTTAAGGCAGTGGCTGCCATACTGTGGTCCATAAAATGGTTTTAACACATCTAGAAATGTTCTCTTCAAAATTTCTCTGAAACTAGACAAAGAGATATTTTCCGTGAGAATTTTGCTTATTGCAATAAATATGACTCCACAATATTGTTTACACTTTTAAGTTTTTCAAAGAACCAGCAATGAAAGTAACACACCTCAGAGTGGCTGTTATTTAAAATTTCTATTAAATCATTAAATGAGGGTCCTCAGCCAGGGTGTCTTAGTTGGAAGGATGCAATTTAAAAAATGTGGAAGCTTCTCGGTTAACTCTCTCAACACAAGCTCGGTCAATCCGACTGACCACGAGACCTCTCTGTACTTGCTTAACACTAGTACAATAGGTAGGTCAAAGTGCACATGTCACAACCTTTGACAGTTACATGCAAAATTTAATTAAACTACTTTATTATCAATGTATAGTACAGTGCAAAGGTGTTAGGACAAAGCCAAAAATTAAATTTCACGCTACTTTCAAAGAACAATGGAAGGTAAATCAGAGGTGAAACATCAAAATTTCATTAATCTTCATATTTAGTACAACAGAAACTCATTGGAAGTGCTTGAGTTCAGCAAACAGTTCATATTTTGTGTGTTTCCCCCTTTAGCTTTAAAAAACTGTAGACAGTCTTTCAGGCATTGTTGCAACATATTTAATCAAAGTGTTCTTTGGGATTTTACTCCAAATGTCTCTAATACACTCCCATAATATTTCTTTGGAAGTAACTTTTGATTTGTCAAGTTTTTGATCTATCAAATCCTAGATCTGCTTAATTGGGTTGAGATCGGTTCTCTGTTGGGGCCATTGCATCATTTGAATGACTCCAGTAGCTTCTTTCTTAGCTAAGTAATTTCTGCATGTATTGGAACGAGTGTTTGGGGGTCATTATCTTCTTTGTAGTAGAATCCTATACCAATAATACACAAACCACTGGGTTAACCATGACAAATCAGTATCTGATGGTACTTGCACTGGTCCATTATTACATTTATTTTGCAAATATCTTCTGTTGCCTCAGCAGAAAAAACACCCCAAACCATCACACTGCCTTCCCCATGCTTCATGGTAGGCATTGAGTTAAGTATCTTTCACCTTTCTTCTGCCAGATGTACTACCTACACTAACATATATTACTTATTATTATATAAATATTACTAAGGCAAAGCTTAATTTTCTGAGACAGTATGCATCTCTGCATACAATTAAGCTATTTTCCCTGTGCATCTACCCTAGAGATTTGGATGCCTCTAGCCTTAAGCAACTCCCACCTAATCTAAAAAGATTTTGTGTGAAATGTGGTACTGCATAATGAAGATATTATGCAGCAAAAGCCGTCACCAACAGGAGATCGACACAACTCCTTGTGCACTAACTCCATCTATGATTTTGTACTCACGAATCACCATTCTTTTTGTCAGCACTGATTTGTGATGTCAAGGAACTTAATTTCTTTCTTTTTCTTCTACTAATCATGAACACATTAGTTCATATAATATCTTCTACTGCTTGTATGAGTGAATAGTTTCCTCATACACGTTATGTAACAACTATGGCTTATGGAGGCATGCTGGCTAAGAACGATGTGATGGCTATTGTGCTTAGGGTAGTGGGTTCCCTTATGCAGCCAGGAGCTTCAGTTACATTCCCTTCTTCAGGTGTTTCTTCCCCTCGTTTTGAAGAGAGAATGATGAATTTGATTCTCCTTCATCTGGTTATGCCTTTGGGAACTTATCTCTCTGTTGAAGAGAAACCTTAAACTTTCTCACATTATCAGGACTTAGTTTCATAGATATGCACAATGCTTTCCCCTGTGTCATATTATTACTCTTATTCCCTACTTCTTAATCCTAATCAAATCTGTTTCCCCTTTCCTTGACCAATTACATTTCCACAACCTTAAGCCTCGTCCTTCTGTCTACCTGATTTTTATGTCCTTGATTTTAGTTATTCTGAATCCCTTTTCACAATTCCCAGTGGGAATGCCCTTCTCTGTTTGGGGATGACAGACTGTTTGGTTTGTTTTGCCTTTCAGTGCCCAATACTCCTCTCTTTGCCTGATCCTTTTTACTATTCTTCTTTACTTCTCCTCTCTATACGTTTTTCTAAGGCACCCGACAATGCCTCAGATAATGTTGCGGCTAATTCAGGTTTCCTTCACTTCTACCTTTTCCATGCTCACTAAGCTCTTTGTTGCTGGGAATTGTTGGGTAGGGATATTCTCCTATTTCAAGTTCAACTTCTTTCTTCCCTTCTCTGAGACTTTTGCCTGGCTTCCTTTATTTGCCCTGAAGTTTGGAAGTATTTCTGATTTGACTGAATAATGGGCTGAGGCAGCTTGTCATCAATCCAAATCTCCACCATTGTACCTCGACTTAGTTCCCAGTTTCCCATCTTTTGATTCCCACTTTCCTCTTCTTCCTGGGATTAAACACATTGAGCTCATCAGTGATGATTAAATCGAGTTGGGTCCTGTGGATGCCCAACTGTCATGATTTGAGCTTCTGGGGTGACACTTTTCCATCCACACAGGGGTTACTGTAATTTTACCCATGGACTTTCTCTTCAATTCTCTTCCCCTCCTCCTCTCAGCCCTCATCATGTTTCCTTTTACTCCTTGCAATCCCATCTATGTACATCTGGCGAAGGCAGTGTTTGTCAATACTTCCAAAATTTCCTCACTTCCACTCAATATCTTATTCACTTTTCAACTCTTGTCTCAGCTATGCTCAGCCTTCTCCCATCTGCCTGCAAGCTATGAAACCACTAGTCACTAGGATTTGTGCCTATTCTACTCATACTTCCTGAGCAGTTTTTAATTTGTGGAGACCATGGCTTCACTGGAACTGCTTATCCCTTTGCTTGACCAGAAGACTCTCTAATGGGAAAATTTGACCTTGAATTGTTTACCTGTTCCCTCCTTTACTCAAGAATTTGTATTGGTGGCTGGACCAATGCAATATCACCATCAGTATTCCATGACCTTCACCAAAACTGGACCTGCATCTCTTCACTGATGCTTCCTCCTCTAGTTTTGGTGCATCTCTGAACAACATTATCACATCTGGCTCATGGATCCACGAGTCCACTCTCCAGGTCTCCCCACTACAAATTCCTCACCCCCCTTCTATTTGAGTGAAGCATGATAGACCCTTGCCACTTACCAGTTCCTAGCTGCTGGGGTGGTAGACCATGAAGAATCCTCACTGATTGAGACCTAAGTGCCAATCAGTGGGAAGTGGGGTAGTGTAAGTGTAGTGCAGGTCACTCCTCATATATCTATACTTATAACATGCCACTTGCACCCTCCTTTTGCAGCCTGAGTCTGTACAGTGCAGTTGAGGTGAGTACTTACAAGACTGTGCCCTCCTCCTGCATTTTGCAACTGTCCAGTAGAGTTGAGTCGAGCACATTACAAGATCAGAGCCCTCTTCAGGCAGCCTGCAACTGTCCAGTTGAGGATTCACCATTACACCATACCCTCCTCTTGTGGTCATCTCCTGTTCAGTTGAGTTGAGGCAAGCATACATTAACAAACTGTCCCTCCTCCTGCAGCAGGTGTCGGCCTGATCGTCTGATGGTAAAGTTGAGGTAAGCACATGGTATGGTCTGAATGCACCCCAACCACACTACATATATTGGCTCTCTGACCTCTTGTGTGCAAATACTCAGCTATGTTCTTATTCTGCCCATCCCTGTACCACATGGGGCTTATATGCCTCTTCCTCTCCTCTATCATTGGCAAAAAGTATACCCTGGAAGAGATGAGATGTGATCTCTTACAAGTGTGCCCTTATGGAGTTCCTGCCATAATAGGGTGTTACACTCCATGACTTTTCTTTGGGCACTTTCTGAAGGGAACTCATGTAGGTAAATCTTTGCATCAACCCCTTGACCACTTCAATGTGGGATTCTAGCTTAATTGCATGCAGAGGTGTGTATCTTCTCAGAAGTTAGCATTTTCCTTACCTTAAAATGTATTTCCAAGAGATACTCACTTCTTCACACACACATTCCCATCCTTCATCCCCACTTCTACTGCATGTTAGTATTCCTTGCCTCATCAAAGAATGATGATTCATGAGTACAAAAGCATAGAAGGAGTTAGTGTGCAAGGACAAGGAAGTGTATCACCCTCCTATTGGTGGAGTGCTTTTGCTGCATAATGTCATTATGCAGTAGTGCAATTTACAAGAAACCTTATGAGATTAGGTGGGAGTTGCCTAAAGGCTAGTGGCATTCAAATCTCTAAGGCAAATGCACAAGGTAGATAGCTTAATTATGTGTAGAGGCGAGCATCTATCAGAAATACATTTTTAGATGAGGAAAATGTTCACTTTATAGCCTTCAATCTTTTTTTGTGGAGCCATAAGCTAGAAAATTGGACCATTATGCCATACCCACTTGTTACAAAATCTTCTTTTTCACAAATTGTCAGAAGTTCTCTCTGATGTTTTATACTACATTATTTATTAGATTACATTGTTTTCCATAATGAGCATGTCTCATGAGAATCACATTGAAGAGCTTAGCTGAATTTTTAAAGGCATAGTTAGAAAGCCAGAAAAATTATGATAGTTATAGGACATTGTCTGTGTTTTGTGTGCTTTTATTCTATGTTCTTTGATTCATTTTTTAATTAAAGAAAAAAATATTTAATGTTGTAGTACCATTTGTATAAAAAAGTTGGGTTAAGTTTCATCAACAGTTGACAGCAGAAAAAAATAGAAGACCCAAGTAATTACTATATTTCTTGTTTTTCCTATTTATTCTTTATTGATTATAATAAAAGTAACTAAAATGTTAAAATTCAAAACTTACTTGGATGGATAATGTATATTATGGTAGGTAATTAAAAAAATATTCTTCACGAGGTATGCTTGAAAGCCATTCGTAAATTACATCATTCAATATATTAACTGAGCTGCGTGCTTGTAAAGTGTTTTATAACTTGTGTGGTGGGATTATTAGTTATACACAGTTTAAAGGGCAATAAAACAATAAAATTAAGTTTAAATAGATATATACTGTTATGAGCTTTAAACTATTTAGAATAAACAATTGTGGTTTCCTTTTACAATTTGAAGTCATTCTACAAAAAATGTTGTGATATTGAGATTTATTTCCTTTTTTTTTTTATGGTGATTACGAGGTTGGTCGATTTGACTGACCCTGTATAGGGTTTTTCTGAAAACAAAAGTTTTTATTTCATTAGGAGGTTTTCAAATAAAATGAGATTTGAAAATTTTTAGATTAAGAAAAATATTTTTAATTTTAATATGACTATCATTTTGCACTTAGAGAAGTCAACACTTTGACTCCATATATTCACAATGAAATTTTTATTAAAAATGCTTCATTAAAAATTCTGATTTGTTGTCTATAAAAGACTTGTAATGTTTACTGAAAGCTTGCAAAATTTTGTGGAGATACATTAAGTATTTTCAAGAGTACGTATACCTTCATGGTTACAAGGTCATGTAAAATATATGAGCCCATTGTGAAAGGCACAGGAAAGTAGTGTAAATGAGATATTTTACTTCACTTACAAGAGTTCTACTCTTTTTTTAAAGCTGATAATTAAAACTGACTGTCACTCGATTATGCTAGGTGTAATTTTCATTAAAATAGGATAAAAGTACACTGGTTTGTTTTTTCCTTCTTCTGTATGATTAAATTTTCTGTTATTGTGCATCTGTTCAGAAGATCTGGAGTAGAAATGTATCTTCAGATGAACATTTATACCACAAAAATGGAAAACATACAGAAATTTCTGCCATTAATAACTTGTAATTTATAGTTATTCTACTTAAAAAACTTTATTAAGAACTTATGATTGTAAATTGGTCATATAGTAATCATGACTCAAGCAGTTGGTACTTTACATGTGTCAACATCAAAGAAAAGCTTCTGTAAATTCCACAGAATGAACACCAAATAGAGAGACTTTTAACTTTCATGATAGCAGGAAAAAGTTTAATTATAAAAGTAGTTAAATCATATTTAAAGGAACCCTATGTCCTCAATTGTTTTGAAATGATAGATCTTCTTTTGTCAGGTATGAAATAAAATTTCATATTTTTGGTTGTGATCAACAAAAACATGCACATTTGTGGTAAGTAAGCCTTCACAGTAACCCATAGCATCATTACTTAGAGGTAGATATACTTCCCTTAAATTTTGTCGAACATGTTTTTGGCATTACCTTTGACTTTCTCAATAGACTCTATGAGGCTGCGGACTGAGAGTTGCTGAGTATTATAGTAATCACCTCGTTTTGTTGAGTTCAACTGTTTCCTGACTGATGCTAACTCTTGTCCCATGGAGTGCAAAATACTGATGTCTGATGTTGGAAAGGGGTTACTCAGACTTCTTAATGATTCTTTTCGTTGATGTGAGGGGGATCGTGATGGTGCCCGACTCTGCAATACAATCAAAATACTGGATTCACTAAAACATTTTCATACATAGGCCTTTATGATTGTAGGTGGTCTGTATGATGCAGCTAAATTCTGACAAGAATTATTCAGTTTTTAATATGCAATTATTAGTTATGGTGGGTTAGCCTGTAGTGTAAAGTTTAGAACTGAATTATAAGACATTTTAGTTAGATATTGGAGATCATTTGTACTTCATGTTCCAGCATGATAAGTATACGCCACAGCCATATGACCACACATACATATGGCTACACATCCATGTGACAATAGTTCAGTACACTGTCAATTTCTAGAACAGTTTAGAAATCATTTCGGATGTTCTTATAGTTACAACTTTTCCCTTACTGTTACAAGGAGGAAAGACTGGATGCATTTTAAAAGTATTTCTCTTATTCTATTTCTTTTAATGTTAAAAGTAAAACCCTACAGAATAGTACATATCATACATCCTGTTGAATGAGACATTTAAGAATTTTGACATGAGTGTGAAAAGCTGATAAAGAAATGGAAACTTTGCTGTACAAGTAAGTTTCTATACTGCAATTACTTTTTCAGTCTTATTACTTCACAAAACCAAAATTTAATTTTAAATAGTAACCGTTAGATGAAATAATTGTTTACTGCACAAATTAATCTGGCAACTAAATTACTCAAAAAGGTGATGGTCCTTCCAACAAAATTAATCCTTTCTTTAAAACGCTACTTATTTTTCACATAACTATTTTTTCCAGTGATTAGGTACAGACAAGTCATATAAAAGTCTTCTCGTCAAACAATTTCTATTTAGTAAGTGAAATAAAATATTTCTATGCAATCAATTTCAATAGGATTAGTGGTAAGTATAAATTTAGAAATGCTTGCTTTCTCCTACATAAAACTGACTTAGTGATGGATGATGGCCACTCATGTAACAGTAAATCTGCTTTTGTCTTGTGTTTGTTTTTCGAATAAAGAATTGGTTTCACTTTGTATAGTGACACTCATAAAGTTTTATGATGTTATTGTATTAGTGTAGTTCTTTTGTATGTGGATTCTTTTAAATTATCTGGTGAAAATAATTCCATCTCCAGTACACATAACAATAATACATTAACGTTTTTACAAGCTTGGACACTTGTATTGCCATAAATTGCTATAGGCCTACCTTACAAATGACTTTAACTAACATAAAACAATTCAGCTTACTTGTACAAAGTAACCACAGCAGATAACACACTGATTGGGTCACTTCCTATCATGAAATCACACAACACTTTCTTAACTATATCCGTGACTATCTTTCAGCTCACTTTATAACGATCATTTTGATACTTCACAGAATGTTAAATTTATATTCTACACTTACTCTAGATATTTCTAGGACTTCCTTGTTCTTAACACCATGCACTGTCTAGTTAACATCCAAATAAACAAATTACAACATTATAAATATAGCTTATAACATTTTCATCAACAAAGGCCTTAAATTCACTTAATATTAAATTCACTTAATACTATACATATATATACAAACTAAGGTTAGGGTGTAAAATGTTTTAGCTGGTGGAGTTTGATACTTAGTAGTAATATACATGTGATATAACATCAAAATAAGACTGATAGTAATTAAATTTTAAAAGCCCAATATGGGTTTCCAGTAAGAACGGTATATAATAGCACGATGTGATTTAAATTACTATCAATTTTATTGTGATATTGCCTATACATCACTACTAAATGTTTGCTCTGCTAGATAAGACATACACTATATGATATTTTATATCTGATAAATGACTGATATAGAAAGCATTTCAACTAATACTTTGTTTTGTGATCCAGCTGACATATAAGCACTGGTATTGAGTGAAAGGCCTCAACACCATGCATTATTTATAGTTGAAATGTTACTGTACACAGTTCTTACTGGAAATCTGAATTGGGCTAGTAAAGAATGATGTGATTTACATGATTATCAATCTTACTGTGATTTTATATCCTACATGTATTACTACTAAAGTCTACTGGGAGTTTTCTAAAGATGTTAACAACACAGAGATTCAACTACACAAATTTTATGAAGGATGTATACCAGCAGAGCCCACACTAACAACTGTGGAATTGTAAGATAGCTACAATGTCCGAGGCCCCTCGCAGTATTTGGCACAAAATGTAACAGAAACTGCACAGCAGAGCAATCATTAATGGACCAATGTATGGTTTCCAGCTTCTGCTTTTCCCATAGCAAGTGGCACTAAGCATCTATATTGCCTTAGAGCCAGCTCTGTGCACCAAAGTTTTTGATGCAATTCTCATGGGTTCACTGAGAATATTCTTGTGTTGAAACAAAGATCAAGAGATCAGTTTTTTTGTGTGTGAAATGATATTAGGACTAATAAACACTATGAATAAATGATGTTAAAAATATGTTAGTCTTGTTTTCTGATATCCTATATTCTTAAGTAATTTGCAAACAAAGTAATAACATGATACCTTATATTTTTGTATGTCCATTTCTAAGATCTTGATTTTCTTCCTCAATTCTTTGTTCTCCTCCATAGTAGCCTCCATGTTTTGCTGAGTTTCTGTTTTGAAATCATTGGCAACTCTTACAGTTGTTAGTAAATCATCCTGAAACTGCTTCCATTCTTCTGTCTGAAAAAACTATTTCTAGTTACTTTTTGTAAGAAGCTATGAAAGTTTGGAATACTCTCTTTTTGTTTACATTGCATTACTTTCTTTTTGGTTAACTCTTGTACATGTTTATTAAAAGCTTAGAAAAAGTTTCTTCAGTATAACATTTAAATTGCACTAAATTTACAATTCCTTTGCTGTTTAAGTATGAATATAATGAATTTGAAAAAACAAATTTATGTCATACAATATCATTCTTTTATTTTACATTCATTGTATCAAATCAGTACTACTACTACTACAGCCTATCATACTTTGGGTATTGAATTATTCAGTATATATTAGATTTTCACATTTGTAAGAAGTTTTGGTCTTTTACATCATAAGCTCAGAGATCACTTGATACCAAGAAAGTAGTTAGATAAAACTGAGCCAAACAGATAAGAGATAAACAAAAGTAATTTACTGTAATATTAGACAGTATACTGTAAATGGGTTGATAACATTACAAAACTTGGGACATTTACAGTAGTGAAATTGGCCTATGATAAATGCTAAAATGGACATATGATTAATGCCTGAATATATTAGATGGACATCAACATTGAAAGTGCAGTAAAATGAACTTGGAGATATTAGGTGGACATGAACAGTGAGAGTACCGTGAAATGGGATAATGGTGAAAGCCAGTAGGTATTAGAGGTGGACATGAACAGTGATACTTTATTAAAATGGGCTTATGATGAATGCTCAAAGATATTAGATGGACATTAACAGTGATACTACACTAAAGTGAAATTATGACAAAAGCCTGAAGATATCTGATGGACATGAACAGTTATAGTACAGGAAAACGGCTTACCACAAACACCTGGGGATAATAGATGGACATTAACAGTAAGAGTACATAAAAATTGGCAATGATGAATGCCTATAGAAATTAGATTGAGATGAACATTGAAAGAACAATAAAACAGCTCATGATAAATGTCTGTAAATACGAAATGCATGTAAACAGTGATAGTAAAATGGCTATATTATGAATGTCCGAAGATATTGGATGGACATGAACAGCGAGAATACATTAACATGAGCTTATGATCAATTCTTGGAGATATTAGATGTGATCACTGAGAGTATAGTAAAGTGGCCTTATTCTAAAGGCCTGGAGATATTAGTTGAACATGAACAATGATAATACAGTAAAATGAGCTTATGACAAAGGTCTGGAGATATAATAGATGAGCATGAACAGTTATATTACAGTAAAATGAGTTTATGATGAACACTTGGAGATATGATAGAAGGACACGAACAGTGAGAGTACAGTAAAATGGGCTTATGATATATGTTTGGAGATATTAGTTGGACAAGAATAGTGACAGTACAGTAAAATAAGCTTATGATTAATACCTAGAAATATTAGATAGACTGAACATTATGAGTACAATAAACTATTTTTCATGAATATATTTTAATATTGGGTGGATATGAACAGTGATAGTAGAGTAATATGGGATTATGATAAATGCCTGAAGATATCCAATGGAGATGAACAGTGATAGTACAGTAAATAGACTTATGATTAATACTTGGATATAGTAGACAGATGTGCTTAGTTAGTGTACAGTAAAATGAGCTTATAATGAATGAATGTCTGAATATAATAGAGGGTCATAAACAGTGATAGTCCAGTAAAACAAGCTCTTGTTGAATCCCTGAAAATACTAGATAGAGGTGAGAAAGAGAATATAGTAAAATGGACTTATGATGAATGCCTGGAGATATTAGATGGGCATAAACAGTGACAGTACAGTAAAATGGGCTTATGGTACATGCTTGGAGATATTAGATGAAGATGAACAGTGATAGTACAGTAAAGTGAGCTTATGGTACATGCTTGGAGATATTAGATGAAAATGAACAGTGATAGTACAGTAAAGTGAGCTTATGATGAATGCCTAGATATAATAGAGGACATGAACAGTGATAGTACAGTAAAATGAGCTTATGGTACATGCTTGGAGATATTAGATGAAGATGAACAGTGATAGTACAGTAAAGTGAGCTTATGATGAATGCCTAGATATAATAGAGGACATGAACAGTGATAGTACAGTAAAATGAGCTTATGATAAACACCTGGAGACATCATAGATGGATATGAATAGTGACAGTAGAGTAAAATGGGCTTATGACGAATGCTTGGAAATATAGATCGATGTTAACAGCTAGAGAACAGTAAATGGGCTTATGATGAATGTCTGGAGATATTAGATGGACATGAACAATAAGAATACAATAAAGTAGGCTCATGATGAATGCCTGGTAATATCAGATGTAAATAAACATTTACAATATATTAAAGTTGGCTTATTACAAATGCCTTAAGATATTACAGATGGACATGAACAATTATATATGTACAGTAAAATAAGATTATGATGAACATCTGGAGATATTATATGGACATGAACAGTGAGACTACAGGAAAATGGGCTTATAATGACTGCTTGGAGACATTAGATTGACATGAAAATTGAAAGTATAGTAGATTTAGGTTATGATGAATGCCTGTAAATATTAGAGGGACATTAACAGTGAGGGTACAGTGAAATAAGCTTCTGATGACTGTCTAAAGATATTATATGGACATGGAATTAAGAGTACAATACAATAGCTTGTGATCAATATCTTTAGATATTTGGTGGACATGACCAATGATAGTAGAGTGATATGATCTCATGAAGAATGCTTTAAGACATCAAATGGATATTAACAGTGAGAGTACAGAAAAATGAGCTTATGATGAATGCCTAGTGGAAATAGGGGGATATGAACAATGATAGTACAGTAAAACAGCTTAATACAAATGCCTGGTAATTTTAGAGATGGAAATGAGCAGTAATAGTTATATAGTAAAAAGGGCTTATGATCACTCCTGGAGATATTAAATACATATAAACAATGAGAGTACAGTAAAATTAACTTATGATGAATACTAGGAGATTATTAGAGATTAAAATGAAACAGGCTTATGATGAATATATGCAAGATACTACATGGACATGAACAGTGTTAGTCCAGTAATATGAGCTACGGTGAATGCCTAGAAATATGGTAGATGGACACGAACAATTGTATTACAGTAAAATGATGTGATGATGAATATCTGGATATATTATATGGACATAATGAGAGTACAGTAAACTGGTCTTATGATGAATGTCTTTAAATACTAGGTGAACACAAACAGTGATAGTACAGTAAAATGAGTTGATAATGAATTACTGAAGATATTAGAGATCGAAGTGAATAGTGATATATTTAAAACAGAAATTGTATGATCACGTTCTTCTGGAATATTCACTATTCTTGTAGTAAACCAGACAATGAAGTAAAAAACATACCATGTGATATACAAAAATTGATGTTTAACTGTGTTTTTTAATATTTATTTTTAAATTAAGAAATCAAATAATATATAATACTAAAATCTGAATTATAATCTACAGTTTGATACCAAACTTGTTGGCATAATTTCATGAAATAGTAGTTCAATAAAATTTTAAATGTGAGTCTACAAACACAATGACATGGCCTTGGACCCATGACCCGTCTGGAGAAGGGTTACAAGACTAAATAGTTTCAGCTTAGCAAGATGCCAATGTAAATTTGTCTTTCATTCATGAAATTTTGCTGTTCTGGGGTAGCCAAATCTATATCTGTCCCATTATATGAAACACAAGTTCTGTCCAACTATTTACCACATCCTTGTCATTTACAGTTCTTCTAGCATTACACATATTTACACTACATAGTGAGGTTTTCTGACTGTATAGTTTTCCTTTTCAGAGGAATGCAGCACTGGTTCAAATTAGATGTTTGAGAGGTCAAAATACTAAGTCTATAGTTTTGTACAAATCAGGAACTTAAATTACAGACAAGTTGGCATATAAAATAAGAACTTCCTATCTTTTCTCTTTCCTTATATATCATATCACTCATGTAATGAATCAAACACAGTGGCCCCGCTCACCTCTTTCCATTTTTGGAAATGGTCCCTTATATACACTTACTTCAATATATGACATGTGAATAACCATTTGAAAGCTCAGAATGTCCCCTAGTGGCTTTCTCAGCCATTTTCATGTGTTAGGATGCCATCTCTTTCTATTCTGAA